GCGTTTACTTTCTGCCTCATACTAGATTGTAAGTGAAAAGAGAAGGAAGTTGAGGCTCAATGGGCTAAAGTCTGTAATGATGCCACCACTGACTGGCTGGTGGCAGGCATACCATGGATGGAAATGTTCAATGACCCTTCCTTGAAAGGACCACAATTGCTGCCCAAGGACCTATCTGTGGACCTGGCTGCTGTGTGCCCATTACTTGTTTACAAAACTCTGCTTCGCTATAGTCAACTTGGGAAACAGGGCAGATTCTGTCCTGCTCTTCTAATATGGTGTGGAGATGAGTGCTACATGACAGCACATCGACTTTCTTAGTGGAATAAGAAAGGTAAGACTCAAAAGGCTTCCAGGTATTTGTACAACCAGAGCATGCCTTAACAAGCACCAATCTCTGAGAAATCCATTCACTTCCATCCTTTTCTGCAGATATGGAAAATAATCCCAGGCAGCAATATTATGCTTCCATGGTTACAGAGAATATTATGCTTTTCTAGGACCAAACAAAATTTTGATCCTTGCCAACCATGTTTCTGAACACGCACTGCTTGAAATCAGGCCAGCCAAGCAGAACCAAAGTAATTGACTGGGACTAAATCCGTCTTACAGGAGAAGCTAACCAATGAGGCAAACCCATGTGTTAGTGACACCTATCCAGGCTTGGTCCTCACTGATCTGTGCAGGAAGTTACTTTAAGGGGATACAAAGTAATGAAACTCTTAAAAGTGTTGGCTGAGGTGCTTTTTTGCTTCCAGACTCCTATTTCCAGAGGAAAGTGGGCTGACTGTCCTGGGCCAAGACTCCTTGCTAGTGGAAGTGGGTAACATGTCACTTGAACTTTGTAAGGTTGCTCTCATGACTCAGTAAGTCAATCTGAATGGAGTTCTTGGAGCAGAATGTGGTAGGGAACATTCAATAAAAACGATTCTTATTGTTAGGTACTGTGGAGTACTTTCAGTGACTTCAAGCTTTTGCCAGATGGCTCGCTCGAAGTTAGTCTGATTCCTAGAGTGCTGCAACTTACAATGACACTATCTAACAATCTCAACAGGCATGCCTTTGCCATTACTAACAGCACGCAGAGACTGCAGTGCTCATGGAGATTAAGCCTTGATTTTCTTTATCTAGGCACACAGTCTACTTTTAAATAAGGGCAAAAGTTAGAAAGGAGAAATTTCCCCTAAAGTCCCTCCCTCCCTCCCTCCCTCCCTCCTTCCCCTCCCCTCCCCTCTCTCTCTCTCTCTCTCTCTCTCTCTGTGTGTGTGTGTGTGCGCGTATTTTGAGATAAGGTCTTCTTATAGAGCCCAGGCTGCCATGCACATATGCACAGTGCTTTAGCACATTCCTGCTCCCATTTCCTGGGTCTTCTGGTGGCACTGAGAAGCACTGTCTCTAGAGATGGGGGCTGAGTGTAGGGAGATGATGGAGTGCAGGTTATTTTCAAAACATTTGGTTTTGATGGCAACAAATGATGCAGCAGTCCGAGGAATAAACTGTGTTTAGACAGAGGGGCAGCCTGTGTGTCTAACCTTGGGGAGATACAAAATGTTTAAAAAGCCAAGGGCTGGGGATGTAACTCAGTGATAGAGTGGCTGTATAGCACCTAGGAGGATCTGGTTTTAATCCCTGGTACTGAAAGAAACCAGCAAGGAAGCAAAGGTGCTGAGGCTATACTTGTATCCCTTGCCCTAAAACAAAACAGGGGAGGAAATAATCAGAAATGAAAAAAATAGAAATGATATGCTGAATCCTTTTTTGTTTGTTTGGTTTTTCGAGACAGGATTTCTCTGTGGCTTTGGAAGCTGTCCTGGAACTAGCTCTTGTAGATCAGGCTGGTCTCAAACTCACAGAGATCCGCCTGCCTCTGCCTCCCGAGTGCTGGGATTAAAGGCGTGCACCACCACTGCCTGGTATGATATGCTGAATTCTAAAGGGAGGGAATGGAACCAATTTTAACTTGGGTGAGACTGAGGAAGGCCTCATTTACAAGATAAGACACAGTAGAAATGGGATGGATATAGTGATGGTATTCAAGGGGGTTGGAGAGGAACAACCATGTGACACCACTGTCCCTCCAGTTTGTGTGTGCTGTGACCTTCACATACTATCCTAGCCTAATGGCATATTTCTCAGAATGTGTCATGCCATGGAAATACACATGACTATGGATGGGAAAGAGGGGTGTTCTCCTGGCTTGGAGAATGAGTCAGAGCTACAGGTAAATCTCTGCTTAGGAACAATGGCAAGGAACTAGAAGTCTGTGTACAAATTCGATTGGCCTCATAGATGTTTCTTTGAGCTTTCAAGGAACATCCCAAAGCATAGTTGGCTCAGGACCACTAAAACAGACCAAGGTAGGAACTACCTGCCACCACATTCAATGAAAATGGCATTAAGAAATTCATGTGACAGCCTATATACTGCTAACTAAATAGGCCCCTGGTATGGGAAAGGTGACCTTGGAACACAGCAAATATCAGGCTAGGACTGTAAGGAACTGACAATGCAGAGTTACTTTGCTCCGAAGAAATTCACCTTCTTTCCCAGCCCCAGATAGTGTGGAAGATCTTTGCCAAGATGGCCTGGTTTCATTATTTGAAATAGCTTTTAAAAAAGAAGATAACATTTTCTTGGTTATTTCCATTTTTCTGTTACATCGTTTTTTTCAACATGAAAACAAAAAGCCCCTCCCCACTTTTAGTGCTAAGAACTGAACTTAAAGCTTCATGTATGGTGCCTGTCAAGCACCCTACAATTGAGCTATACTCTCAGCCCTTTTTGCTGTCTTTGTTTAAGCTTCATGGATACTTTCTTTAGGTCTCAACAGAAATTAAAGGCTTAAAATAAGCATACAAGGAAGGTGAAAACTATTGTATAATTCAAATAAACAATGGGAAAACAGGAAGAGGCCATTCTTTGGAGATGTCCTCTCTCAGGAGAGACACTAGTAGCTTCAGATCTACATAAAGGGCAACAGAGATAACTGAAAGCTTATCTTCTCCTCTCAACATCTTAATGTTATAGTCCAGAGAATTACTCCCATCTTGAGTAACCATGGTAACTTGCAGAGCCAGATTCTAACAATGCTTGGGAATACATGAGATGAGGCACTTCAGAAAGGCAACGTGGTTCAATCTACACACAAGAAGCAAGGATAACAAGACGCCTACCCAGGAACTAGAAAGCCAAGACTCTCCCTGACGTCCAACAACAGAATCAGAAAGAAAACACCCAAGGACTCAGCTCATCTAATTCCTTGATTTTAACAAAGAAAATAAGGCCCAGAGGCAGACTGGTTTGATTTCTGCCATCTAGCATTTGGCAGAAAGAAAATCACTTAGTGGTCCTGACTCACAACATTGTCTGCCATCTCCCACTGGTTTCTAATCCAGAAGGCCCTACACATGGAAGAGGTCCAGTATCCATCTTCTGCCAATCCAGGTCTCTATCATTTTTCTACTTGTTTTCACTATGGATATTTCCAAATATCAACCAGTAGAAACAAACATAATAAACTCGCAAACATACTGTCTGCATATGTCAACTCCTGAATGCTTTTACAACTTCCCTTTTCCAAGGCTATTTAGGAACAATTCTCAGGTATCATTATTGTTCATTACACAGCAAATACTCAAATTTTCTACCTGAGCGTGGAGCAGAGACACTTCTCTCTAAGGATCTTTGGTTTCGCTGTTGCACACACTTGTGCTGTGTCTACTATTTTCTATTCTGTTTCACAGCTCAAGGACCCAAGGGTAGTCTTACCTAGCCAATCAGATCTGCCCTGTGATCTTGCACACATGGGGGATTTTGGTAAAGGGATAATTTTGGCTAGGAAGTATGGAGAAAGCTGAACTTTTATCAAGAGATAAGTGCCTTTTGTCCTTAACCAAAATCCCAAGGACACTTAGCATTTGTTTAAATTGAGCTTAGAATTAAAACCAATTTCCCCCACATGTCCATGTGAAAAGTCCCAAGCAATGACTTTCTTTTGATTTATTAATTTTTTTCTCATATGGGGTCTGTTTTCATTCATTCTTTTACTTTGGTATGGGGTCTTGTTATACAACCCAGGCTCAAGTTCTCCCACCTTACCCTCTAATGGTTTGGTATGCATGCCATCACTCCCAACCCAATGTAATTCCAGATGCTCAATAAATCCATAAAGTCAGTGACAATAAAATCATTTCCCATCATCTTTTCTAAGACAGAGATTGTTGGTTTGTTCTAAGGACATGATGGAAACTTAAGATTAAACAACAAATACATCAATACTTCCTTTCATCCAGTCACTTAAACCTGTCTCTGAAAAAAATCACAACAGTGGAGCGATGATGGCTCATGCCTTTAATCCCAGCTCTCGTGAGGCAGAGGCAGGTGGATCTCTGTGAGTTCGAGGCCAGCCTGGTCTACAAGAGCTAGTTCTATGACAGCCTCCAAAGCCACACAGAGAAACCCTGTCTTGAGACCCTCCACCCCCCAAAAAAACCACAACAAAGAGGACATTTGAAAAGAGAGAGAGAAGTTCTGAGCCAGGTGTGGTGATACACATCTATAATCATAACACTTAGGGGGTGGTCAGGAGGATCAGGAGTTCAAGAAAGTTTTAATCAACAAATATGTCTCTACTAGGAGCAGTAGGCAGACAGTATATGACTATCTATGTGTGATAAAAAAACTGAAATAGGTGTTTGAAGCCATGACAGTGACAGACCCCTTCTCCACCTCTAACCTTTACTTTCCTCTGCTATGTCACATGTCAGTATCTATATGAATTTACAAAAATGTATTTTAATGTCAGGCTACATTAGAAAGCTGAAGTCAGAGTAAACCAGAGACAGCCAGAACTGTGGAACTATTTTACCTTTAAGTGGAATGATTTCATTTTAAGTACAAATGCATATTCCTTCAGAAAAACAATCCCATGAAATATACAATGTTCAACTGGTTGAAATGTTAACAGTTTATCCATCTTGCAACCGGGAGAGCAATCGTACCTGCTGAGGTTTCTCTAAATTTGTCACTGGTCTTCTTTTTCCTCCATTTCCAAGGCTTGAAGATTTTACCAATGGTGGACAGTTTCCCCTTCCTCTTGAAGGGAGGTGTCTGGGAACCTGCTGGGGGGCCATCTGAGTTTGCTATGGAGGCTTTGTCTAGTCCATCAACTGTGTAAAGAAAAACCAAGTTAGAGAAAAGCTGCAATAAAAGTTTGAAACAACACTATCTGTCTTTTTCTTAGACTGTTAATGGCAACCTTGCCTGTTCTTTTTGGAATCTCACATAAAGTCTGCTTTGTCCCATTCTGCAGCTGGTAGGACTCCCTTGATATCAATCAGGGACTCAGTCAATCATAAGTTATAGTCCCCCTAGGTAATCATTTTGGGGAAACAGAAAAGGAGTTCAAGACTTACATAATAGTTAGGGCCAGACAAATAAAGACCTGTGAACCACAGCTGAGCCCATCTGCAACAATACATCAATATTTTGTGCAGGAATCCAATACTCTTAAGTATTCCCAAAATAGGATGCTCCTCCAAGACTAGTCTAGCATTCTCAACAAGGACTTCACCGTCACAGTGCTGTGAAAACCATGGTTTCTTCTCCACAAAAGGAAGTTTGGTGCCAGGAGGCTAAACTCTATTTTTATAATGCTAACACTATGGTGTGCTTCTGTTACAGCAAGGTTTTTAACCTCAAATAAACTGATGGTTATCATTAACGAGAAGAAATATGTAGGAAACATGGTTATGGCATGTGACAGTACATTATCTTCATATGCTTTCAATATTTTATCATTAAGAAAGGCACATTCTGAATTTGCCTCATACTATGCTCTAAACAGAAGGCGATAATCATGGCTTACATCACCCCAACTCCAAATCCTAGAAGAAGCCCACAATAACAAACTATGGTATTTCTAAATTTACTAAAACAGCACTCATTCTTTTTTATGAAATGGGTATATGAACAAATACATAATCAGTTAAATGCAGCAAAATATTAAGTGTTGAATCTAGATGGCAGATACGTGGAGGGTTCAAGTCTTTCATCTCCTCTTAAGTTTTGGAAACTTTCATAAAAATATTAAGGGGAAAAACAAATACAAATATAAGTTGTATAGCAAAGACTTCCCCTAGGGGAAGATAAGGTAGACCTACACTTTCCGGTACTCTTGCTAAAACCATTGCATAAATCCACTCATACAAACAACATTAGTGCATTTCAAAAAATATCAAGCTGAAAAGGCTGCAACAGAAGGAAGAATGAACTGTGTGGTTCTATTTTTATAAAATTTAAAAATAGGCAAAATGAACCAATGGCAAAATAAAAAAAAAAGAAAGAAAGAAAAACTGTAGGAATTAACCGAGTGGTTGGAGAACTGGGGGAGACAGAATTTATACCAATATTGATTTCATTGTCACACATCTTTATGATTTTTGTGCATTTCACTTTATGTAAAACTAATCTTAGAAAACTCATAGGGTGAAGTCTAACTGATACATGTGCTGAAGTGATTATAGGTGAATTGTGCTGATATCCATCAAAAATAAATGAACAGATAGAATGAGCAGATGGATAAATACCCAACTAGCAAAATGCTCAGTTGTTGAAGTTACATGGTAAATATGTGAGTATAGAGTGAAATGCTTTTATCCTTTGTATGTTTTTGAAAACTTTAATAATAAAAATATCTGGGAGAGGGGCCAAGAAATAACAAAAATCAATCAACAAGCATTGCCACTTCAAGGAAGACATTTTTACTCCTATTCCTCTTGGTAAGTACAACTTGAAAAAACAGCAACAACCCTGCAAGCTACAGATTTTTTAAAAAGATGATAGTGAAGTAGAGAGAAAGCAGACCACACCAAGATCTCAGACTCCAATAAACCAATAAACAACATGATGTCGGGACCCATAGGTTCTATTTTTCTCCCCACATATCTCACTCTTATAGCTATAACAAACCAGGAAGACCAGTGGGCATGGGCCAAAAGAGGTTCAGACAAAAGCCGGCTCTTTGTAGCCATCAGGCAGGAGAAGAAAGACAACCTGGGAAGACAGAAAGTTTAGACCACAACTATTCTGTTCTGGCCGAACACACCACAGAGGAAACTGTGATCATGCATGCCAGCAAAAGCTAAATTCAGGAATGAGACTTTGACTCTTATGAGCCTCCAGAAAAGATCCTTGTACTTCTGCCAGAGTTCTGCTAACAGAAGACAAAACAAGAAGACCTTCATGTCTATAAGCAGGTAAGGAAGCATCCCCCCACAGTGTCAGTGGAGACTATGTGTGAAGCCTAGACTTTTATCCCATTCAGAAACTGGGTCTTTTGTGAAACCCTGTCCTGTGTGAATTCTAGCTCTGCCCAGTATTAATGAGGACCTTCATATATGGGTGTCAACAAGAACGTAAGCAGAGAACTTGGATTTTCACCTCCGTGAAAGAGTGGCAAGCTGGCAGTCATTGCTTACTTGCTAGACAAGTGTTAGATGAAGTCAGTGGAAGCAGAAGGTTTAAATAAGATGTGGAGTCTCATGACATAATACACCAAGAGTTCAAGTTTTGGTTTTTTAAAAAATCCCCTGACAAATCAACAGCCAAGAAAATTTGAAACTGAATGAAAAACATCAATCAATAGTAAGCAACATTTAGGTACTGGATGAATTTTTCTTCCAAATTCATATGGTAGGTAATTCCAACTCTTCTTTCTTGTGATCCCAGGTGCCACCTAGGCAGAGGTACCACAGGCTGTATGCATCTGCAAGTGGCCCTCACCCCACTTTCAGCCACACCACAATAGAAAGAGATGTGGGGGTGGCAGTCTGCACACTAAGTTAGAGGAAAACCCCAGTAGAGGAATGACATCTTCACTTCTACTCCCGTTCAATTGCTTACTGTGAACTACAGGACAAGCCCACGAAGGAAGCATGTGTGTGCTTTTTCTTCTTCATGAGACTTTATACTGAGCTCTCACAGAAAAGATGAGTTTTGAGCAACTGAATATTGTAAAATATAAAAGGACCGACTCATGCAAATAGAGGAAGTGATATTTCCGTCTGAAATTCATCTCTATCACTACAGACCAACATCTAGTCCTTACTTTCTTACACTGGAGAGGGAATGTCATCACCCAAACCACATACCTGGTGGGTCTTTGCACACCATAAAAATTGTGATTTCCACTTGAACCAGTCAAGCTTAGTCTGTTTTGCACTGGTAAATAAAAATAAAGTTCAAAAAATGCAGCAATTTCCTTGATGATACAAGGTCACTGGGGGTGGAGATGGTTATTGAGTGAAAACTGACTCAGAGTTAAATTCATGACTGCATACAGGATGAATGACACTGTCTTTTTTAATTGTGACTTCAGTACTATCCTTGTCTAAAGTACCAAAGGTGGAGGCCAGTGCTAGCAGAATTGGGGTATATGCACATGTTTGTGTATTCCCTGGCTGAATGTATCTCCTTGTGGTTTTTTTTTCTTTTTTTACATATAACTGGTAGACTCTTATTGAAAATCACCCTTGCTGTTACGAACTGTATGATGGCACAGTTGGACAAATGCCATGGTACTTCTCTTAAAACATTATGAGAAAGAATTGCCACTGTCTTTGGAGAAATATGGGCAGAATATCTTCTCCAGACACCTGGAAATTAGTAGCACCACTGATATTTCTGTGATTTTTTCTTTTGAATAAACTTACCATCAAAAATCCCTTTGAAAATTCTGAAACCCTTCCATCCCAGCCTAGCAGAGCTTGCATTTACAGACAGAGAAGAAAAAAAAAAGCTAGGCCATATCTAGATATTTTCAATGTTAATTTTCATCTATGTTTCTGCTATTTTCCTTTTTATTTCTCTTGTAATAAAACTTATGTTCCTATATAGGTCAAGTTGGCCTTGAACTCATAATCCTCTTCCCCCAGCCTCCCAAGTGATGGAATTATGGGAGTGCACCATCACATGCAACAATGATCTACTTTCCAGTTCATCATTACCTTCTGGTTCATATTAGAGACCTACATTTTTAAATATAGCATATTCTGAGATGCAGTCCTAGGCTTCCTGAATATGGAAATTTTGCACACTATAGCTCTATGTATTTTCCTAGTGAAATAAGGCCACACCATTGAGATTCGTCATTTTGCCAACTGGTAAGTCTTCAAAGAGCACATGTAGATTTTATTTTAACTTAAAAAGAAACCGAAGCAATCTCAGTACAAAGTAACCATATGGGTCAAAAATAAATGAAGCTAGATTATTATTACATTAAAATTATGAACTTTGGTGTTCTTTCCTCTGAAATCTAAGAGCAGACAGGGCTTCTTAGAAAAGGTCAACCATTTAATAGGAGAGTTTATAGGTTGTTAAAAACAATATTTTGTGTTTTATGATATGTCAGACACCTATTTTCTGCACACACAATCACTTCAGTCACTGAGGAAATGAGGCACAGTATTCCATTCATAAATCTAGTAGCTGAAAGGTCACCTAGAAAAGAGGCCTATGAAAGACCTCCTGGTGTAGACTTAGGGCAAGTTGGCAGCCACCCTGTGAAAAAGTAGTTTAAAAAGATGGTCTCAACTTTCTCTAAATACCCTTAAACACTTGAAGGTGAAATTGAATGCATTTTTAAAGTCCAATAATAACAAAACCAGAAAGAGATCATGTGTGGTAAATACATTTCGCTAAGCGCATGCTCTGAGGAAGCTAAATATCCCAATCAAAAAATAGGCAAACCAACTTCTATTTCCTTAAAATATGATTTCTGAGACATCTTTTCCTTTTATACGTGTGCATGATTGTTCAACCATTATGATTATATTAAACTTTTTACTATAGTTTTCTACCATGATTTTTTTTTTTGGTTTCCATAAAGTTATACCACTAACCTTAAAGGTCATAGAACATTTGGTAAGGAAATATGATCATAGTACATTGGGAAGAATTAACTATAGCCTCTCAATCTGAAGCAATGACTTTGTTTATTTCCTATTATGCATGAGGGCAGACATTTAGAATGAAGTAGACAAAAGGTCACAGTCAAGTGGTGCTATAAGCCATTGCTGATGACAATGTATAAGGTAGTCAATGGGCATCCTTGACCTTATTCTCCTTAATCACAGTTTATATTAGGTTAAACCAAATCTCTTCCCTTCTT